AGCCCGGCAAGCTACCGAGAGTATTGGATATGCCAGACACAGTAACAATAAAGTCTCCAATGGAGACGTTACTGGGCCCACTCGAGCAAATCGATGATCAACGGGAGGGCCTTTACCTTTACCTTTACCTTTATTAAGAGAATGAACTAAGGGCCGGAGCAATAGTACAGCAATGGGTAAGGTGTTTGCCTTGCATGTGGCCAACCCAGTTCAATCTCCAGCAGCCCATAGGGTTTTCCCAGCACCACCAGGAATAGTTCTTGAATGCAGAGCCAGGAATAACTCTTAAGCATCACTGGGCGTGAGCCAAAAAGAAAAAAAAAATGAAGTAATACATTAGACATCCCCCAATGACCTGTTTTTTCTGAAACAAGACCAATACCTTTATACCATAGCACAGTCTACCAAACTACAGTTGGATATTCCTGACCTGAAAAATTTAGGTTTTACTACAAAACAGTGACTAAAACATTAAAAGATTACAGCAAAAATTCAATATACTCTACAAAATTCCTAAAGTCCTAAAATGCCCTCATGTAGGTAATAATATTTTGCTGCTATGCATTTATCTCATTTGGAAATCCTTTGGCTACTGTATTCTACCTAGAGTGATGAGTCAAATACAATGATCAATAGAGAAATGTCTTAATGCATCTTGGGATCCAAACCATTTTAAATACACAATTGGAAACTCTCCCAGGATTAGAAAACCTGGACAAGCATATGAAACTTGTGTGAATTTATTTTAGTTTATATTGAGATGTCTATGACTCTCACAAAAGGGGAATTCCAGAGAGGTTTCCTGTCTCCATTGTTTCATTTCAATAATATCAAGAGTGGTTAAACCTTTCTTATCCCTTAAACACTCTGTATGTGTGAGTGTATGTGTGTGTGTGTGTGTGTGTGTAGGGCAGTGGGTATTTATTCTTCAGTTAAAATATGTTCACTTACGTACATCATGATGACTAAGAATTGTAATATGTGCACTTTTTATGACAGTAACACATTGGGGTAGAATTTTTGGTAGAATATTTAGAATGATAAATCAAAGACATCAGACCATGATTCTTAACAAGGAACATGATTTTAGAAATCTCTATCTTCTAATCAAGAATAATTTCTGAGGATCATGAAAATTTTTTCATCAGATAATCATTGCATAAAGGACATATGTATATTATTGTAAAGAAAGTCAGAGAATGGGCAATTATTTATTTCTATACATCCCCCTTATAAGGATAAGACAACCTCTTAATCATCTGAAGAGAGACTTAGTGAATGTTGAAAAATCTCTCAACAAAGTTAAGATTCCTTGTAATGGTGGGGAGGCAGAGAATAAGAAGGAAGGAAGGAAGGAAGGAAGGAAGGAAGGAAGGAAGGAAGGAAGGAAGGAAGGAAGGAAGGAAGGAAAAAGGAAAGGAGGGGAAGGGAATGAGGAGGGAGAGAGAGGAGGAAGAGGAGGACAAGGAGGAGCGGGAGAAGAGGAAGAGGAAGAGGAAGAGGAGAGGGAGATGAGGGAAAAGAGATGAGGAGAAGAAGGAAGAGGAATAGGAGGAGGAGGAGGAGGAGGAGGAGGAGGAGGAGGAGGAGGAGGAGGAGGAGGAGGAGGCGGAGGAGGCGGCAGAAGATTGTGCAAGTAGTTTTCACAGAAGCATAGAAAAATAGTAAAGTGGCCTAAAAACTGATAAGACACTTCAGCTGTACCAAATTATTCACCATGAAAGGACACTGTACTGTTTATTCCTCCTCATCTAGATCCCAGGAGTCTTTTCCTGCTGCCCACCCTGACATCAGGCCAGTGGAGGGCAAGACCAGCTTTCCAAGCTGCTTCCCAAGAATTGGAAATGGTTCTGACTTTAACAGGTAGGTTCTAGAACTTCCAGTGATTCTGTGTCCTATGGACTGAAGGGGGCAGAAGAGGCCATTGTAAAGGGAGACAAAAGAGCACCAAGAAGCCCAGGGAGCAGAGAGCAGGGCTAGCAGCCTGCAGATGTCAGAACTTTCCAGAAGCCCCGCAGTATATCTACTGTTGCGTTTCACAAGAAGACTCTACTGGATGAGAGCAAAAACCGACTCCTTTGATTAACTAATTAGCTTTGTTACTTGCCAGTGTTTTGGTGTGTGTGCCAGGGAATGAACTGAAAACTGTATTATATGACTCCTGGTAACCATTTAACTGAGTGACCTGACCATCAGTCCTTTATCTCAAAGATGAAGATAAAATCATTCTGAACATTTACCTCAATTGTGTAATTGAAATTAATAATTACTGTGGTAAATGTTACTGGAAATTCTCAAAAATCAAACAAAAACCCTTTTCAGTATAAAATGTGAGATCCTTCATGTAATTTAATGCCTGTCACTTGAACTGTTCAGAAGCAAATTGATTGTCCACTCTTAATAAAAGCAGTTGTTTTAATCACCTTTTATATGAGACTTAATGGGGTTTGAAGAATAGTATATTGCAAACAATTAGAGATTTCCTTTGTGAGATATTAACTGGCTCAATGGGTAGAACATCAACTTTACTCTTAGCCCATTTTTACCATAAAAATAATTCAACTTGGGAAGCCAGAGCAATAGTACAGGAGTTAAGGCACTCGCCTTGCATGCAGCTGTGCCTGCTTCAAGCTCCAACACCCTGTATGGTCCCCTGAGCACCAGCAGGAGTTATTCCTGAGCACAGAGCCAGAAATAAGTTTTTTTTGTCACTGTTGACGTGACAAAAAAAAAAAAAACAAATCAAAAAGAAAAAAAAACTGTTCAACTTGGGTCGAAGAAGTGGCTCAGTGGCAGAATATGTGCCTTAAATGTGTAAGCCTAAAGTTCAATTTCTTGACACTGCCAAAAATAATAAAATAACCCAATCTGATATTGGAAGTCTTGAAATGTGTCATCTAAATTGGCATACTTAGGTATTATAAATTTATTATTTCAAACTATATATTTTGTCAGGTGAATGAGACCAGTTGACAACTGGTCTCATTCAACTGGTCTCATTCACCTGACAAAAAAATGAATGAGACCAGTTGAATGAGACCAGTTGTATTATTTTGTAATATATTTGTACATGCACCTGGTTTTACGGGCAATATTTCTACTTCAGAGTTGTATTGCCTTGAACATGTTACTTAGCCTGTATGATCTCTTCATTAACCTGTTTCCTCTGTCCTAATCAGGAAGGGGGTGGGGGGAATCACATCACTGAGATGAAATAAGAAGTAAACAAATGTCTACAAAAGGACTTTGTAAGCAGTAAAGGGCCATACAAACAGAGGTGCTAGAATTTCCAACAAAAGGCAGAAGAAATTCATAACCCAAGGAAAGGCCTGAGAATGAGAAGCAGCTTTCTGGCCTGTCTTTCTGCTCGTGAGTTCCAATAGCCACATGGAGAAAAAATGTTCAGGCTTTTTTTGTAAGTCGATGGTGATTCTTCATTAGAGGAAGGCTTTTTTTTTTTTCATGAGATAAATTCAAAGTCTTTGCATTTTCCATGTGTGGAACATCTGTGCTAAAACCATTCCATGCACACTTCTTTGAAGCACTGCCTGCCTGGAGGAAATACTTTGATTTAGGCTTTATTTAAATGCCTGAACTTCTATGGGAGAAACAAAAGATTTTCTAGTAAGGGCCCAGTTGGGAAGGAGACCAACCTCCAACAGATTTAACCATTCCAAAGCCAAGGCGCCTGGAGTATTTTACAGAGCCCCAGGCAGGAGAGATCTTGGGAACTTGCAGTATTCATAGGCAGCTGGTTTGAGCTGTCACTGACCCTGGGTGCAATCACTGTGCTAATTAGATTGTCTTTTCCTAATACAACATTGCCAGGCTCCATCCTGTCTACATCTCTGTGTAGAAAACCATTACTCATTGAATCATACTTTGGACATGCTTAAGATTTTTGCAGCTCGAGTTTTCAATGTTGGAAACGAATCCTTTGTAACTGTAAACATAGCTGTTCACACAGCAGTATGTACCAGAGTTTAACTTGGACACTGTCCTACTTCAGGAACTTTCCTGAAAGATCTGACCGTGTTCAGAAGATCTTGAATATCATTATCGCCGCCCCCCCCCCCCACTTCCCCTAACTTTGCGAGTCTTTGGTATCGTCTTCTACCAACTCACTTAGAAAGATGGCATCAGACCCAAGTCATTGGCGGGCTTGAAGAGTTTGGATTCCAAGTAGTTTCTGCGAGCCCCGGGAAACACAATTCTGTGTTCCCACATTCTGGGGTTATTCATTCTGTAATAGTAACAGAGATCACAGGGTCATGCAAGGAAAGGAAGGAAGGAAGGAAGGAAGGAAGGAAGGAAGGAAGGAAGGAAGGAAGGAAGGAAGAAAGAAAGAAAGAAAGAAAGAAAGAAAGAAAGAAAGAAAGAAAGGGAAAAAAGAAAAAAATCGGTGTTCCTGGAAGGACAAGGGACAGGTACGCATCTAGGCTTGCGCCCGTAGATGGCCTGTTTACGCTGTGAAGAAACACCAACGGTGTCCCTAGCTCAGGAGACCGGGTTTTTTTTTTTTTTTTTTTGGTGCGGTTGTTTGTTTTTGAAGGCGTGTGCGTGTTTTTCCTGCAATATTAGGAAGCTGGCCAAGTGATAGTGCGCCGAGGTACTGGGTCCCCGGGAATTGTAATTGCTCGCGCTTTAAAGGAAGAACATCCAGCCGTGGCTGAGAATAGCACAAGGTGCATTTGGAGAGTATCAAAAGGGGGAACAGACGGAGTCACACAAGTTCCGAGTATTTCTTAACGCGCCACCTCCCTTCCCCCCACCAAGCCCCCCCATCCGCCCCTCCCCCGCAAAAATAAATAAATAGATAAATAAATAAATAAGAAGAAAGGAAGAGAAAAGCCTGGGGCTGAGGGACTGTTGCAGGGAGCGAATCGCTCCGGACTTCAAACACAGGGAGTCATTCTGTCAAGGGGAGGGGGCGGGTGGGGGCCGGCCTCCCTAACAAAGTCCTCCTCTCTTTGCTCCCTCCCACTTCATTCACTTGCAAATCAGTGTGTGCCCACAAGAGCCAGCTCTCCCGAGCCCGTAACCTTCCCATCCCGAGAGCTGCAGTTCCAGCCTCGGCAGCGAGAACGCCACCAGCGGCCACCGCAGCGGCAGCGGCGGAAGCAAGAGCAGTCGGGCCGGGTCGCGGGGTCCCCCCGGGCGCAGGAAGGCGAACGGAGGTGGGTCTGGGTCTCCCGGTGGCGACGGTGCAGGATGCCTTTCCTTTGCTTTTTTTTTTCTTTTCTTTTCTTTTCTTTCTTTTCGGCTTCTTCTTCTTCTTCTTCTTTTCTATCCTCCCCTTCATTCGATCGCGGGGATGCAAGCCAATCAGAGGCAGCGCCCCGTGCACCCGCGGGTACCGCACGCGGAGCGGGGAGGGATGCTCAAGCCCTGCGAGCCAGGCTCGGGCGGGCGGGCGGGCGCGCGGGTCCGGCTGCGCCGGGCGGCGCTGCTGCTGCCGCCGGCCAGGACGGGCGCCGCCGCCTCGCAGGGAAACGGGGCGCAGCGCCTCCGCCTCCCGGTAAGACGATCAGATCCATTGTGGGGGGCACGGTGGGAGGCACGACTGCCTTGCTCTCTTGCTCTCGCGGAGGCTGCCCGCGAGCGAGCGCCGGCATTTGCAAAGTTGGCTGGTCCAGGAGCAGGGCGTTGGTGCGAACCGTTTGGAGGTTGGGGGGCGGGGGGCAGGGGGCTTGGTCGCTTTCCACCTGCCCACAATCGCGAGGGTCGGGTGCGGTGAACTGCCTCCGCTGAGTTTTATTTAGTTCTTGGCTTCCCGATCGTCTATCTGAGGGGCTTGGAAAACTCCCGCATGTCCTACTCCCCCGAGAAAGGCAAACTTGAGATGGCGATGATTTGGCAGGGAGAAAACTGTTACTAGCTCGCTCGGTTCCCAGCCACGGCTGCGGGCTTGCCAGAGGGCAGAAATGCTAAGGTTGCAAGGAAAAGTGCAACCTCGGACTCGGAAAACGGAACACAGCGCCCAGGGAAAAAAGTCCTGTGCAAGAGGCAGCCCGCTGGTGCTCCGACTCGGCGGGGCGGGCACGGTTCGGGCAGGGGGAACGTCCCTTCCCAGAACTGGCTGGACAGCAGAGCCGCGAGTGCGCCTGGGTTTTACAGGGGTCCGAGGCAGGAAAAAAAGTGGAGCCTCTCCCGCGCGGGGGTCCTGGAATGGAACGGAAGGGCGCGTGGTGGTGTGCACTGCAGCGGTCGGGGAAGCGGCGGTGACTTCCACAGTTAGAGGTTCTTCTGCAAAGAGTTATTGGAGATCTCCAGCCGGGAGATGCTGGCGAGGTCAGCGCGGTGCTGAGAAGTGTTGTCACTGCTGCAATAAAATCCATATTTTATGGGGAGTTACATGCAGGTCCCTTCTCGTGCAAGGGGCTGTTCCCCTCAGTTTACTGAGATCGTTCAAGAAAGAGGGAAGTTTAATCATCCGGAAGAGCCTACATTTCTCTCTCTCTTGGTTGGCGGGGGGGGGGGGGGGGGGGGGGTGCGTAGAAGGTATTTTCATTATTTTATTCACACTTCTAGAGATGCATCCGCCTGTGCCATCAGTCATCGCTGCCAGCACTGGGTACCGATGCACATAATGTGGGCAAGAAGTGATTTCTCAGGCAAGGATGTTGCTGAGTGGCTGGTGTATGTCCCTGGCTGGTTGCACTGGAGGGTTGACTGGCCAAATATGGGCTTTCAAAGCGGTTATTACCCTAGGGGTGCAAACTCCTCCTCCGCAAGATGGAACAGGAAGGCAGGGAGATGTACCTGGTTAATGCACTGTTCCTCTAAGACTGAATAACATCTTCCTAGGCCAGGGATGGTGGAGCATGCTAGTTTCCTTGCTTTTCTGGCTGAACCTTTGCCTGAAAAGGAAACATTCAGATTCTACTCTAGGAGAAATCAATCTGGAGGCATAAACTGGAGGCAGTTTAGCTGAAGCATCCTCAGTGGAAGAGAAGTGGCGGGCCTGGTTCTGTTTTGCTATTCTAGAGAGCTAGAAAACAAGTCGGGTGGAATCAAGGGGGATAGGATCAAGCAGATGTCTTCAAGATGTCATAGGAGGAGGGCAAAGTTTATGCCGGAGGCCAGTTTTGCAATGCAGAGCTCAGAAACTTAAAGAATGTAAGAAATTTAAGAATGTACTGGGAAATTTCAAACAGGGCTGCATCTCACCCCATTTTGTGCTTTGGTGTGTCTGACTTTAAAAAGTATTGGTGAGGGGTAAAATTTTTTTTCTTCTACCCATCATAATAATTCTTGCATATTTTGGAAGCAGAGGAAGTAACCAATTTCTTCAGCAGCAGCAGAGCACATTCTGTAGGAAAGTGGCAATGCTTTAGTTCAACTGTTCTTCTCTACAATTATCTTTAGCTGCCATTATAGTAAGTGACAGGCTGGTATCTCTATAGGGACTCTTAGTCCCTTTACTACCTGGCTTTTACATCAATTTATTGCAATTACATTGCTTCATGCTAACTCTGCAAAGATAATATATAGAAACGAAATCACTTTCGACCAAGTTGCCGACTATCAGAAAACGTATGCTTCACCTCCTCCACCCACAACTTCCATCAGCTTTGCAAGTGAAAATGTACGCTGATGCACTCTTCCTTTTTAAGAAAAAAAAAGTACTGCTTAGAGATACTTGAAATAGCCAGTATTTCTAGAAAGCACAAAGACATTTTCCAGGGCATCCAGAGGCTTCCCATGGCAAATGTATCCATCAATTAGAACAAGTTCTGAATATCCAACCTAGGACCCATTGAGTGATTTTCCCACCTAAGGATTGTGAAGGAAGATAAAATGTGGCAAATATTCTGAGTGAAACCAGGTACTTTCCTAAGGTATTGGCCATGGCTTTCTCCCCCTTCTGGCCTTCACTTACTCTGCAGTGGTGTATGCCAACTAAGGCTGCATCTTTTCAACTATGGAAACTTCGGTTAAGTTGGAAGGGACCTCTAGTGGGTCTCTCCGTGCATTTCTCTTTTGTCATTCCACTGCAATCGTTACTCTGTTATCTAAAATCAAAGTACAAAGGCTTATCCTCCTAAGTCATGCTCCTTATTCTCTAAGCATCACCCGGATATGAAAGTTAAGTGAAAAACCCTGTTTCTTGCTAGCATTTGTGTAGTTCTTCTGCTTTAAGAAATCTGAGAGCACTTTGCACTGTTTTTAGGGAATCTACACACCTAATAACTTCTCAGTGATCCCCAGTGAAAGTAGCGGCCAATGCATGAAGAATTTACCATGTCCGAGTATAAAATTTTCCCATCCTGCTGGCCTCTTTAAGACTACTTTATCTGTCCTAATTTACCCAGCAATGGTACTGGCATTATAGTCATGACATTTGGAACATCCAAACGTTCCATGTAAAAGAACCCCCAGCACTAAAGAAATATTCACAGAACCCAATGTCAATCATACTTTCAGAGGTCTATGAGCACTGCAAAGTCTATGAGCACTCCAAAGTGAGAGTAAGCTAGAAGCTTTTCATTGAGAGGCCTTCCCCATTCCGAAGAACACCAGGAAGCCCAGAAGATGCTTGGAGGTATTATCGCCCTTACTCTGGGAGGATGTTCTTCAAATGTTTCTCTTTGACATGTCACAACCTCCTTTGTCAGGACCTACTTTCCTTACAAAACCCCAGCTGGAACTTCAAGGCAGCTAAATTTTGTGGGGATGAATTGGTCTCTTCTGCTGACAGCCAGCAAGTTTCAACTTCCCATTTAAAAATCTGTTGTTGAGTTGGAAATGTGTTCCAAATGAGATAACATCCGATGGGCCCATTGCCTTGTGCTGCTGGCTTAGTCACGGCAGCCCATTCTTTAGGGGGCCATCAGACTTAGGGTCTTAGAAAAATAATGAGAAGTGACTCAGTCTGAACTGCACATTTTAAAAAATAGTGTTTCAGTCTAGCTACTGAAGGTATCTCATTTGCTTCACAAAAAGGTGAAAATGGAGATAATATAAACCTTCTCTGGTTTAAATTTTTTTGCTCTGAATAATGATTCTCAGTACAAAGACTCACAAATTTGCTAACAAGAAAACTACTGAAAGAAGAAAATTAAACTCACCTGCGTACATGCGCACATGTGTGCGAGCGCGCAGACACACAGAGAGAGAGAGAGAGAGAGAGAGAGAGAGAGCTCCCAGCTATGAGACTGTTCCAATAATATGAGAGAAAGTATGCAGAAATATAAAGCTTGAGATGACTTTTCCCCCTTTTCATTCTTTCCCTTAGTCCAATTTTTATTTTATTTTATTTTGGTGTTGAGAGGTTGAGACACTTTCCTCAATCTAAGTAAATTTTTCACTCAAGCTTTCTTCTAGGTGGATTAACTGGGCCCAGTTTTTTCAAAGTTCCTCTTCCTAAGGCGAGCAATCTTTTCAAAGCAGTCATCTGAGAAACCAGAATCTTCCTAATTAGCGATAGAACTAAATGCAAAAAGTCTTTGTAACCCTGTCATTCATCAAGTAAGAAGATATGTAAAGAGCAGAAAGTACAAAAACACTTCAAAAAGTTAATCCACCTTCATTACTACAAAAATTAAACGGATTAAAGCTCCTTAAAGTCAAAAATATTGGGTCAAAGAGGGCCAGACACAGCCCTGAAGATTTTAGACCTTCAACACCCAACTAACTGTCCTAGAAATTTTTTTACTCTCCTAACAAAGAATAAAGACTCTAAGCACATGGACATAACTGTAGGGTGAGATACATGTCCAAGGGTAATGGGACCTCCTAGCCACAGATGATTTGATTATTTTACCATGCATCATCTGTTGAATATCTTTCCACCAACACTGCTGGGTGCTCATTTCCTCTGTTAATCAAATCACCTTGCTGAGATTTATGAGAGTAAGAGTTTAATTAAAGGCAGAATGTTACTATTAAATTTGATGTGAGTATAAATGAGCAGTGTGGTCCCAAACCTTTCCTCCTTTCTGCATACAGAGGTCTCTTCTGGAAGAGGACAAGTTAGGAAGAAGTTGAGGGACACAGAATTGGCCATTATAGGGTATCATTTATCTTCAAGCTTCATCATGTGAAAGAGCACTGTTGTTTTGTTGTTGTCTATTATTGTTTGGAGGCCACAACAGGACTCAGGGCTTACTCCTTGCTCTGCACTCAGGGATCACTCCAGGTGGGCTCCGGGGACCAGATGGGATATTAGGAATTG